AATAGTGTAATATTTCAACTGAAATAGAGATCACTTTTTTCTATATTTGTACTAGAACTAATGGAAGTTTTCAGTGACTGAAATTCATCATTTCATATTTAAATTTTATTTTTATTGAATTAAAACTATACTATAAAATAAATGTCAAAACAATACCTTGAAATAAAATTTTTGAACCTTATCAGGAAGAGACAGCTTATTCAGGTAGTTTCAAAATAAAAAAAAAAAACCAAAATTTCTACTTTCCTTCATAACTTGCATTATAATATAATGCAATATAACTTGCATTGTAATGTAACTTTTCAATTTATTCAGTACCAAACAAATCTGTAAAATCTGGAATCACCTATAGTGCAAATTCAAAGTTTAAGGCAAGAAATCCAGACTCAACACTTCATGCACCATCTTACACTGAAGGCCAGTACACTTTAAATAGGGAATTTCAGGATAAAATTGGTTCAACTCTGTTACTTTATCTTCTTATGCAAATACATGCAACGTTGCTTTTCTGATCCATTTATAAACACTGCCTGAAAGGCAGAGCCTGAAGTCATCAGTCATTTTTTCAATAGAAAGACGATATATCAAAACAAGAACTTCAAGAGTACAAGAAAAAAGATTGCTGCTCTTGAATCAGACACTTCAAAATAAAATACATGAGGTTGAGTTCAAGAAAGCCTATTTCACTGTTTTTTTCACAAAAAAAAGGGATGCAAATAGAAAGAAGCACAGCTTGCAGAGGTAAGTGGCACTTGCTAAGCCTAAAGACTTTCTCAGGCTCTGTAGATGCTTCTTCAGCTCATAACGAGGATCTCCTTACAGAGCTTTCAGTCTCACACACCCACCCTGCATGCCAGGTACGGAAACATCAGGGTACTGTTGGATGGAAAAGTCTCCATAGACATCAAAAAATGATGCCAAAATAAGGACACCAAACTTGAAACTGGAAGAAAATGAGAATACACCTGATGGGGCAGCTGCAAACATGATGCTCTGAAGGATATTACTGCACCAGCAGACACTGCTCACATTAATTACTGGACAAAGAACAAGCAAATTCCTAACAAAAACATCTCAGTATAAAGCTTGCTGCTATAAGATGCACGTTTCAGCTGGCTCTGGAATAACCCTTTAGGGGGCCAGACACAGTGGAACTAACCACGGCAAAGAAAGTATAGGAAGTATTTATAAGTAGGTGTTTAATTACACTGAACAGAAATGAAGTCAGAACTGAGAGCCAGGAGAAGAGACATATTAAGGTAAAGGCTGAAATCACCTTACACACATGACTTGGACAAAGGCACCTCCCATTGAAAAATCAACACTGGAAATTATTTTATACACTTCTATATAACTGTAGGTTTTGGGGTGTTTTTTTTTTTTAATTTTTAAAAAAAGAGGTGAGCAGGAGAGAGAGAAAAAAATGCTTTGGAAACTATTTTTATTCTGGCAGAGTTTTCACTGCTTCTTAATTTGGTTCCCGGACTCTGTCCTCTTTTAATTCCCTTGTCATCCAGAATCTATTATGGGGAGCTAATGCCTTAATGGCACCATCTGGCATTATTTAATATGTAACACCATCTTATAAATCAAATTATAATTTATAATTAATCAAACAATTTGTATTTTTCATAATCATAAACTCTATTAGAAAAACCTGTATTTATTAATGCACCATAGCATTTTGAAAATATTTATCACCTGTGGTTGGTCCTTTTCTGTCATTCAATGCTCAAAGACAAAGGTTTTTATTACAAAAGCAGGTATTAATCAAAATGCTTCTTAAAGTACAGGAATTTTTCCAAAGTTTTGTAGAAATATTCCATCCCAAATATGAGATGTTTTAGAAAATTTAGAAATTAGTTAAAATAGGCAGATGAAAATTGGTTTTCCTCTTGACTCACTGTCTGTATCAGTCATTATAGATGCTGGTCTGTTCTCTGCATCACTGGCATCACCACCAGGAATTCTCTCTTTCATTTTAAGTATCCCAAACTTACCCTATAATGTATCCAGCTACACTCAAGGACAAATATTTTATGAATTAGATCCTGTCTATACCTATTTAATATTTTATCTTTCTTTCATCCCACCTCACAAAAAACAAATGGTGTTATTATTTCAATAGGGGAAAAAATAAGATAGGGAGGTTTTACTACAAAAATGATAGGGAGGTTTTACTACAAAAATAAGTATAATCCTCTTTTTTTTTTTTTTTTTTCCAATAGAAATTATTGGATAGGTACTAAATCAATGGTTTTTTTAATTTTTTTTTTTAGTCTGGGGTGATTCAGTGGAGTTTTAACAGAGGAGCTAGAAAGAAAAGGCCAAAGATGAAAAATTACTAATATTTGCGTCATCCTGCACCACATTACAGTCTGAACTCTGGGTTCCACAGCATTGAGGGCAGAGTAGTGCACTAATGCACATAAACAAAATAGCAAAAGATATCTGTGGCCTGAACACCCACTGCTATAAAACTTCTGCCTAAGACAGTAAGTTTCACCTGCTTCCACTCTCCATGAACTGCTGCTGTGGCTGCAAGACAAAACAGGGCTTTTGTGAAGTTCATGAGAACTGCAGAAGTGGGAAGAGGATCAGCAAGCATCTTACAGCAAAACCTGCTCCTCTTCCTATGTCAAGCAAGCACAGGAGAGGAGAGAGGAAGGGGAGGGGAGACTGACTGGAGACATGCCTTGGCTCCCTCCTATGGCACTGGCTGGACTGCACATCTCACCTGCCCCTTGCATCACAAACCATGGATTTGGCCCTCTGGGGAGCCACTCCTGAGCTGAGTTTAGTGCTAAATGCCCGCTGGCAGGCACAATTTGGAGGAAAGGTGATGAAAAGGAAAGAAAAATGTGAGGAAGTGCTCTGAATCTGGCCAACATCCCCAGCCACACCAGGTCATGTGCCACAGGAGCCCAGTGACAGGAAGGGAGGTACCCTGCCAGCAGACAGGGTCACTCCAGCTGGCCCCTGACAAACAAGCACTGAAAATCCCCCAAAACTGTACATCCACTTTCTCATTCTAGACTCAGATCTGTGCTTTTTATCTAAAAGTTCCTTCAAAATTCAATATCTGTTTCAATGAGATATTCCTAACCAGATTTTCAAAGCAATATTCACTTACTTAAGGGTTTTGCATGGCAGAAAGGCTTTATGGGGCCTTTAAAATACACGTTGGATGTACTAGCTTATATTAATCTTAGAAATTCTTATTTTTCACCCTTGCATAGATCTTAATTACTAAGATACACAAGAAACAGGAACTTCAAGGAGTGCTTAAAGTGCACATTCTGTTTCTTCACTGCACACAAACATAATCCCCTGCTTGTAATGTCACGGTTAGTGCTTGCAAAGAAAGGAGATTAATTTGTCAGAAACAGAGGATTACACATTTAACAGGGGCACAGGCAGGTGAACAGGGCATACCCCTGGGAAGGCAGCTCCACCGTCATGCAGTTCTAACCCACAGGTCATTGACTGGGATTATACAAGAGAAGAGATAACCAGCGTAAAGAAAAAAACATGAGATCATGTGAGGCATGCCAGTATCATTTGGCTTTAAAAGCACATATTCAGGTTACTATGAAGAAAAGAGAAGTGATCTGGGAGAGCAGGATCTCTGAGCTGATGCAGACCAAAGGTACCATGTCCATGCTGAGTGGTACTACACAAATATGACTTTAAATTCCCTGTTCCATTAACCTGGTGTTTGGGGCTCTTCTCCACACTCAGAATCTTTGTGTTTGAAGGCTTCCTTGGGCAGCAAATTAATGCATCAAGAAGGAGATTGTGGAAATGAACTCATTTATAGTGAGGTAAATCCTTGCATTGTTTTCTGGCATGTATAATTCGTGATGTATCCCATTCAGGACATTAAGGTGTTTATGAGCCTTGAGTTCAGTCACACTTAAGACTCATTATAGCCTTCCAGGGAAAAGAACTTGGAATGCTTAAGCCAAGCAGCTACACCATTTTTTACCAGGTGGACACATAATTGAGACTTCAGAAGAATGTTTGAGAGGAAGTGGATGAACTAGACCAGGAATCTGTGCTCTGCAGAGCTGTGTGAAGTGAGCTGCTAGCGACTCCTGCCTCAGCTACACACATTCATTGGCTCTTCTATACCTGGGCAGTGAGTGGGGAAAAACCAGACTTCAGGTTTTGTACTACAGCCAAAGGGAAGGACAATTCACCATTAGCTGAAATATGGGCACTGGCAGCTAATTGCCTTCAGCCCCTGGTGAAAATCCACAGGTGGATGGAAAACTCTGTTGAGGGGCCTGGGTTATGTTTGAACTCTGAAAGGAAAATGCAGCCTGTCCTAAACTAAAACTTACAATAAACACTGCTTAAACTTACAATAAACACTGTACTATCATTGATGTAATAAATGATTTAAAATAAATAAGTAAATAAATAAATAAATATTTAATTTAAAGCTCCTTTAATTTGGGAACTCATAAAGAGCATGGCCTTATGAACCCCCAGACTTCCCAGGGAAGCTTTACTCTGCAGTCCTAATATGTACTGAAACCCCTTTCCAGTTTGCATAACTGGAGCTCTTGACTTTGTTCAGATCTCGTGCACTAGTCTTTCAGGAATTGGGATCTATAGGAGTGTGTGCATCGCTGCTAACAATGACAGAGTGTATATGACTGCAGGAAGAGAATGCCTACAAACCTGCAGGTGAGCCTGCTGCTAATTTATTGCTGCTGGCACCACTTCCTGCCTTAAATACTACACAAATTTACTTTTCAAGTACTCTTCGAGTAAATATATGTCTTAAGGGGGATATTTTATCAGATGGACATTTCAATGAAATATTTTATTTCTAAGGTAGGGTGAAAGGAAAGTAGCTAAGGAAATATGCTGATAATAAAATATGCAGTCAAAGGAAGCACTTTCATAGCAGTTTCATGAATGACTTGCAGAAAAGTATAAATTGTGTTTATAAATAAGCACATAAGGATAACATTAATATATGTGTTTAATTGAAACTTGTAAAGCCAGTGAGCTTTTACCTCCCACATTTTAGCATCTTTTTTGTACCTGTGAAAAAAATTGGGAAGAAGGTGAGGAGGAATATGTGCAAAGCACCTGGTATTGAGTGAAAGAAAAGAGACTGCCTGCTTTATGTTTACCTGTTTGCTGTCAGAAACATGGGTCCAACTCTCCAGAAATGAAACCAATGTATAAAAGCACAAGTAAACAGGATCTCCTTGGTGCTGCTCACAGAATTTGAATCTTATGGAGAGCAGCAGCTTGGGGTGATGACACTGGAGTGCTGTGTAAGAAATGCTGTGAGTTGGGGGCAGCTCTGAGGCCCACCAGAGAAAAGGTTTGTTAGGCCCTGTTCTCTCATCATGCAAGGAAATTCACTCTAAAGTCACGATCACATGCTGTGTTTTCTCAATTTAGTTGGAAGTGGGAAAAAGCAGTTTCACAATATGGCTGGGGGAACAGCTGGCACCACGACTGTTCACTGATCTGGGTCTGGTCCAGACTGGCTTTTATTAATTTCTCCCACTTACTCTAATCAGCAGTTTCTGTGCCAGAGCCAGGTGGTCTCAACCTCTCTGCATCTCCTGGGCCTCCATCAGCCCCTGTGGAACTGTGCCTCCTTCCTAGGCTGCACTCTGCCCCTCACCCAAATGCCTCCTCCAGCAGGAAGGGAGCCCCAGATTGTCCCCTTGTCCTGCACGGAGGAGCAGCAGTGGGAAGCACAGATTACTCTGCTGGCAATCAAGACTGAGAATGAAGGGAGAGGCAAGGCAGGAAAGAAACCTAACTTCTATCAGTTCTCAGAAGTTCCTGCAAGGGTGTGAAAGAACTATGATAAAAAACTGGCTAGCAGACCTTAAATAGCCTCTATGATTCAGCTTTACACTTCTTTCTCTTACATGGTTTACTAGCCTTGAAAATTTGACTTTCCATTTTCTTTTTATTGTACTTGCAATGGTTTCTCTAGGGATAATTGCAAAATGCCAGCTTTTCATGCCTTTTTTTTTTTTTTTACTTAAAATTGTTGACATATCCTAAACCTTAACTTGATCTAACATTTATATGCAAGGTGAAAATTAATATCAAAGCATTCACCTTCACCTGCCTTAAATTCTAAAGCAGTCTTGTGTTTAATAGAGACACATTTTCATGTTTCCAGTTTGTGCTGTAAATAAAATCTGCTTAATCACCCCAAGGAAGTGATTCCCTCTTTTCTCTTATATCTCCCATAAACCTCTATCACCCTTATGCTGTGGCACACTGTCTGAAAGTGTTATATGCCTTCACTCCTCCAATTCTGCTTCTTAAATATATTCTGAAGCTAGCAGAAAAAATGTTTCATCAGATGGTCAGCTTGGTAAAATATTTTACTTCTAAGAGGGGATGAACATCAGGCTATGAAAGAAATACAGCTCTAATAAAAGACACAGGCAGTGAAAAGGCTGTGATAAAATCAGCATAAATGTCACAACCCCCCACCCCCCCCAACAGAATAAATTTTCTTTATAAATAAATACTGTGAGAATAACATTAATATCTTTAGCTGAGAGTGGGAAAGTGTAAGAATAGTAAAAAGTGCTCTTATATAAACATACTTTTCCTCTTCTAGTGCAGGAGATATGGGATGAGAGTTATGGTACTTATTTAATTCCAGCTTGCTCCATGGTGATTTTTCAAATGAGGCAGAGGATGGCCACCCTTAACTCGGGCAAGATGAGGCCAAATCTTGATTGCCATTTAGCAGGGTTCCTACTGACCTAGTGAATGTTACCACCTGGTTTTATGCAATCTTTAGACCCTCATTTGCCTCCTGACTCTGTCTAGTTTGTCGAGAGGGTTTGCAATTTAGGGCCTTAATTAAACCTCTGCACAGCACCTCTCCCACCAAGCACTTCCAGGAGCTGCTGCATCACAAATCAAAGTGAAGGGTATTTGCACTCTGCATTACATTTGGTGCTGAAACTGAATCTGAGACAACTGGAGAATATTATCAATATTTTTTTTAAGTGTTGGGGTTTTCTTTAAATTTATTTTTAAAGATTTTACAACTAACAAACATGCCATTAACAAACTGGGACAGGATCTTGATTAAGTGGGAAAGAGAATAAAACAAGGTTGATAAGATGAAAAATACAGCAGAAAAGCAAGCATCAGACAATGCTTATACCTACTAGCAAACAAAATTAAACCCTCAGCTCTAATAAGAATGGTGATGGTCTCAGATGGGAAGATATTTGTACAACACCACTGAAGTAGAAATAATCTAGTTCTTGCTGTTACTTAAAGATAAGGAAAGGGAAGAAAGAAGAAAAGCTGGACAAAGAAACATTAGGAGAGTCTTGCTGTCCAGCCTGGTTGCTATATTAATTTCCTTGTTGGATAGGGAAGGTATGGTATCTTTCAAGATTGGGAAGACCTGCATTCTATTCCCTGATGAAATCTTAAACTCTCCTGCCACTCTGAAAAAATTAACTGGGTTCAGATCTTTAAATGTACCTCGGATTACCAACTAACACTGATTTTAGGAAAATATTGACTTGAAATATCAGATAAAAATAAAATTAAATTAAAGTTGCTGAAGCAAACAGAGTCAAATAACAATCAAATTAGAATGAACAACTACATACACAAAAGATAACCACAAGCAATTTTGCTTGCAGTGTTTAAAAAGGAGGGGGGAAAAATAGGGAATTATTTTTCTTTAAAAGAAGAAAACAAGGACCGAGGATTACAGGATTATATAGAGTTTTCAAACTCTTTGTTGGCTTCTGATCTTCTGCATTTTAGGTGGACTTGCTGATTCGTTTAGTTTTGCTTCCCCACCTGCACTGGAGGACCACAGACAAAATCCAATATCAGGATGCCCAAGGACATGGAAGGGCCGGTGCTGTGGCCCAGGTACAAATCTCAGCTTTGGTGAAGCTGTTTATTAGATCCTGCTGGTGGTCCAGCCACACTAACTCAGAGCTTCACAGAGACAAACCCTCCTCTGCAGAGTCCTGGCTTTTCTTCTGAACCAACTTCTCAGCACAGATCAGTGAGAATCAAAAGGAGGCAGAGGAGGGGAGGTATTACACCAACAGAGGACACAGGGGAGAAGCTATGATTAAAGAGGGATTTGGAAGCTTATTTTCAGGAAATAATTCCTCTTATTGCGTGACTCTTCCTCCTCCCCCAGTATCTTTTACTCACATAGTTTGTCTCACAAAAACAATGATAAAATAATCCTTCACATGAGAAAACTTTTTAAAAACTGTATCCACCAAAGCATGTCTGGCCTGCTAATTCCTCAGGTGCTTTGTAACTGCCCTTACTTTACTGATTTCCCATTTGCTTTTAAGTTTTGATCTACATCTGTGTAAATCTGAGGATTTGCAGCTAATGCTTAAGAAAAAAATACAAACAGTTCTTTTAAGATCATTATAATTTGACTGAGGTTTTAGTATTTTTCTCCCTAAAACCAGAATAGACTGGAACACAACCCTGTCATCCTGTAGAATTCCTAGAGGGTAAATTTATGCAGAAGATTCTGGTCTTGTTGCCTTCCTGAACATGGGGAGGAGATTTCTGGTTTCTCATTGCTAGGGAAAAAAAACCAACCATCTTTTTCCTCTTTACATATAATAAGAGTTATATTCCCCCTGCTCATCCCCCAAAATCTTTAACAATTTTACCTAAGACAGACAATTTGGCTTCAAAACTGTCATGTTTTATAGAGTAGATGGGAAGAACAGAATCTTATATGAGAAAGTTTTAACAAACAACACTGTTGAGACATTTAGACAAGTTTCACCCATAGCAAAGAGACAAAAATGCAACCAGCACAAGTCAAAAAAAAGGAATTTATACTGAACACTGTGTTTTGCTGGCTTTTTTTTTCCTTCTTACTCCCTTTCTCTCAGCTAACAAAACAAAGGTACAAAACCAGAAAATGAAAGAAAAAAAATCTAACTCCTGCTCCTGTTGCCAAATGTGTTTCCTTACATTCACAGCACAGAAACTGGGTGTTCTGGGCGTATTCCTGACCATGAGACCATGCAGGAATCCTTTGGTGGCATCCAGCATGGTCCATGCTGGAGAGAGAGCAAACAATGCAAGCTAATATTTTAAGCTATGTTTTAATGGGATACACAGCCAGGAGCAGCCAGCTGCAGAACAGAAGAAATGGGTGATCTCAGATAGTTTCAGAGCTAAAACATGGGGAGTTCACAGTGTGCTAATCACAGCATCGCTTTGTATTCCAGTGCATAGTTTAATGATGGTAAAATATCATATATATATTCTTCTCTATTAATAATATTCTTCTCGTATTAGTAATAATTATATTTACTTATCTATCTTTATATATGTGCTTTGTTAGTAAAAGAAGCTGCTTGAAGTTCCCTGTGAGCATATAAGCACACACTACAGCTGTCCACATCATGAAATATTGTCTTTGAAGGACAGTTCAGTCTTCATCCTTGCCCTGGTTGATACACTCAAAGGCAAAGCCATAGAGTTACTAATCCAGGAACACATAACACTAAACTGTATTCTTTTTATTGCCTGTGGCCACATGCCAGACACTAATTATTGTAAAATATTGAAAGAGTCAATAAGTTTAAAATATTACCTTTTCCTGAATATTTGTCTTAAAAATATTTTCATAATTAGTTAATTTAAAAAATGAGAACAGTATTTCCAAATGTTATTTTCCAAAGCATTGGTGTTGCTTGCAAAACAATCAAATTCTGTGTAGAGGAGCCAGGACATGCAACAGGCACATGGATAATTTACCATAGAGACGGGGTGGAGTTTTTTTTCAAATAAATGATTTATATGAACTTCTGTTATTTTGTGCATACTCAGTATTTTTCAGGGATGCTCAGTTTGCTCATGCCTTCACAATATCCTTGGCATGCTCATTTTCATTACTTTCTGCTGTTCCTCTGAATTTGCTCGAGTTGTTTCACCTCCCCAGGATGTCAAATGAGACCAAATAGCTCAGCTCTGGTAGCTCATTTCCAGACATCCCAGGGGAAAGCATAGCAATTCCAGTTTGCACCAGTTTTCTTAGAGCAATGGATTTTCCCCACAGTCTCTTCTCAAGCTGTTAACCTAAGGACACCCTTATTTCCACTCTAGATGCACCATAGAACAGAGCCAGACTGGAAACACACTGATCTCTGCCAAACTCAGCATCATAGATGGGGACAACTTCCCCAGCTGATGACCCCTGGAGAACCATCCTTTCTGACACGCTTCACAGGGGAATATGAAATCACCCACCCACCCCTAATCCAGTGATTTTGTGGCTGGGTCATTCATTTCCTCTGCATCTTTTGCTCACAGAGGTGTACCGAGACAACACAAATATTGCACAGGTTTGGGTGGCCACACCATCCAAGATTCTATTCACTTCTCTTCTGTAACTCCCTGATAAGATTTTACTGGGAGGTGTCTGCTGTCAGCTGCCTACAAAGCCAGCATAAATCAGTTGCTAAGCCACACCATGCTTACAGCTCTTGTGCCAAATTGAACCCTGGTGTAAGCACACACAGCTTGCAGCCATGGCTGGCTGTGATCCATTGGGCCCAGAGAGAAACATTTGTTATACTCCCAGAGATCCTTTATGCTGTTACCTTAGTAAAGTCTACAGGAGGTGTCAACCAGTGCATTTTCATTGCTGTCAGTGGATCTATATTGACAGAATTATTTCTTCCTTTTTATCTCTGATCATACTTGCATTTCTGATCCTGTATTTCCTGCTCAGTTACATTGCTGCTGCCTTTTGTCAGCCTTCCTATAGCAAAGCCTGACTATTTTTTGTGAAGGTTTTACACATGAGATGAACATAAGCATTACACTGGGGTGGAGATGAGCCCATCGAGTTCAGCCTCCCAGCTCCACCAGGGGTCTAGGGCTAATTGAGAAATGTAATAATGAGGACATATTGAGAACAATTTTTTTTCCTCAGTGCAGTTTCCTGATTTATTGTAATTAGCGGTACAGAGACATCTGGAGTTTGAAGTAACAGCCAGGCTACTATTAAGAGACATGATTTTATCTAACCCTTTGCTGAACCCCTTTGTATTTTTGGTGCTATTGAAAAAAAAATATTTTTTTCTTGTTTCTGCCAGTAATAAACATTGCACAGGTGTGCATGGACACTGGGTTGCTTTGCTTCAGTCTTTTACAAAGTGAAGGTTAAGGAGATTCAAAATAGCCCTGATACTTTGAAATGAGTTCCAGAAAGAGGAAATGAAAGAAGTTGAAATGAATGCTGGTTTTATTGGTTTTTTTCCTCATGCTTTTGCATTTCATTTACTGGAAGTAAATGAAAGTTGTTGGTGCATAGGGCTATGTGGTACAAAACTGATGGGAATGTCATTTCCCCTTCACCACACCGGAACTTTTCCCCTCAAGGTGCCTATCCATATGACAGCTGTTTAAGGCTTCTCTGTACCTTTGTCCACCTGCAAAGATACTTCAAAAACCAAGCCCAGAATTCAACACATCATTTAGGTAGTTCTCTTTCATCAGCAATAAGTAATAATGAATTATAAGCCAGAAGGGACTATTGGTGAGACAAAGCTTCATTAAACCTGCTGCAAGGATTACTATATGTCAAGTGTCTATTGTTTTTCTAGTAGCAGCTGGCTCCAGGTGCATTCTCAAATGTT